TTTTTTTAAGATTTTATTTGACAGAGACCGCGAGAGAGGGAACAGAAGCAGGGGGAGTGGGAGAGGGAGAAGCAGGCTTCCTGTGGGGCTCGATCCCAGGACCCTGAGATCATGACCTGAGCTGAAGGCAGACGCTTAACAACTGAGCCACCCAGGTGCCCCAAGTATATAGCAACCCTTAAATTGAGCTCATGGTAAACATCCTATGTTTGAGTAGCAAAACTCCAAGAGGACAGTGGGCTTCTTTGCACCTCTGCGTCTGCCTTCAGTCTCTGTGGTCAACTGGCCACTAAGGCTTTGGATGCTCAGAGAGCTGTAGGACAAACAGATCGGTTCTAGTCTTTGATGCTCAGTCCGTTTGGCTTGTGAGAGTCACCTTGAGCCTTGAAAAAGTACAGATGATGTATGCTTGTCCAGACCTGCTGAAGCATAGCTCCAGGGCTGGGGCCTGGGGATCTGCATGTTCAGCAAGGACTTTGGCCCGTTGGAAGCACAGCCAGGATACTTACCCATGCTGTGGTTCAGACTCCCCTGTTCCAGTTGAGAATATTAAAACCCCCCAAAGTGGTAATGAGTTGCCAGGTTCATATTGTAAGAAGCCAGGCCAGAATATATACCTCTTGAGGGCCTACCTTAGTAATAGCTACATCCTGTGCATGCTGAAATGTTACAGAAGAAAGTAAATGTTTAGAAGAAATATCAAATTGAGAAAGTCGTTCTGCATGGGATCCCAGGTGCTTGTGATTTTCTGTAATTTAAACTTTTTCTTCAGTATGCAGCATACCAAAAAAAAAGCTACATTGAAAAAATAATCAGCTTTTCTAAAGCTAGTGTACTTAAACTTTTTCTTTTCCCCTCAAATGACAGATTCCTTTCTCGGTTGTTTCTGAGTAATATGTAATCTTAGTAACTCCCTTAGGGATTTAAAAAATAGTTTTAATGTTTCTACATGGTACATAATAGTTAAAGTGAAAAATTCTTCTGGCTGACAAATTATTAAAGTTGTATTTTTTTTAAGATTTTATTTGAGAAAAAGCATGAGCAGGGGGAGGGGGAAGTGGATTCCCCACTGAGTGGGGACCCTGACTTCGGCTCCATCCCAGGACCCTGGGATCATGACCTGAGCTGAAGGCAGATGCCCAACTGACTGAGCCACCAAGGTGTCCTTTAAAGTTTGTATTAAAATTTATTTAAAATACAATTTTTTTTGAGCACCTGGATGGTTCAGTCGGCATAGCATGTGACTCCGGATCTCAGGGTTTTGAGATGGAACGCCATGTTGAATGT